ACTCTGCTTGTTCCCCATGCACTCCGATTGTTGGCCTTGGTACAGTTTCGTTTGTAATGACTAGTCTCCCCGCACCTGTAACATGCTTGACTTGCTCCAACATTGTTAGGTTGGCTGTTTTGTTGTGGCGGTGCTCTGCAATACCGGGCGGTGTGCCCTCTTTGGTTACAGTTGGTGCACTTCCATTGATAGTTAATGAATCTCAAAGATCTAGGAATTTCATGGTGATCGAAATTGGCAAAGAGCTTTTCATACGTAAATAACTTAATGGTGTGTTGACCGCATCCCTTACACATCATGAAGCCAAATATAGATCCTAGCCTTCTAAAATAATTTTATTTAGGGTGATTATTTTCTAAGGATAAGTAAAACAAAACTATAATGGAAATTAATAATGAATAATGTCTATAACCTTGTCCACTAAAATCTACTACTTCAAAACCTCTAAGGATTAGCTATAAGGATGCTAAATCTTGTATAAATTCATAGTTTGGGAATAGTTCTCATAAACTAAAATAAAGATCATGCCTTTGATAAACCTCATCTTAGGCTACTCCAAACATTGCATTTTATGTTGTTAGAAAGAGCAGTTATCAAGTGTACGTTGTAAACTGACATATTAAAGTAAAATGGAATTTTGTTGAGTTAGTAGTTGACTAGGGTTAGTCAACTAGTTGACATGTACATATAATCAATTCACTCTGATTCTGATACAAACAACTTCGAATATCCATGAAGGAGTTATGCAACATGTTGAGGTTTCCTTCTGAAACTGACATGGCTAGTCATAGAAACTCAAACTTCAAAACACTCTCACAAATTTACCATCATGAATAGAAGTGTCAAGAAGAAGAAAGTGAATTGCCCATGGATTAAAAGGCGATTAGTGTTGGTATACCTAATCTAGGTCCAAACGTCAATGACAAAGGAAGGCTTATTTTGAGACATGTTCTGATAGTAATTCAATTCCATAACAAGACAGGACAAAGAATGTATACATGTCTAAAATATATATCTGAGGTGAAAGGACTAAAACATGGAGAAAGTAATTTGATAATGGATTACGAGCACTTGATACTATCCATAGTATCAAAAAACAACTAGTTCTCCCATGTTAGATGTTCAATCAGATATATGAATTCATAACACTATTGAAAATTACTTCTAATCCTTTGAGTATTTTACTAAGGATTAAGTACTGGCATTTTCAAGAATGTGCAGTGACTAAAATGAAGTAATAATACTGAAACATGGATCATAAATACCGAGCCCTTGCAACTATTCATAGGATCAAAAGACAATTATTTTCCCAAATGTTTAATCTATGGTCTTATAATTGAAATTATTTATACTTTGTTTCATGAGATCGTTCTGGCTTATTTAAATGTAGAGCATTCTAACATGTTAAAAGAAAGTCATGAAATCTATGAAACTAGTATAGTAGCAATAGTTCGAAGTTGATTCAAATATTTAAATAAGGTGTATGTTTATGGTACAAATATCTTTTGAAATTAGTTTACCTAATGATCGTCCAGATTGACCATAAAACGAATCTAAGAATCAATTGGGCAATAGGATGAGATGCTCATAGTGAGCATCTCATTCTAAAAATTTATCGATCATCTAAGAAATTGTGAAAGAGTCTCATGAGCTATCTCCACCTATAACACTACCACTAGGAGTGTTATTTGGATAGATAAACAAATCACTCATTGATTTTGTACTAGATGAGTCGCAATATGCATACTAACAGATCTTGGATTGTATCATGAACAGTGTAGAAGAACTCCTTTGGTCTTGTACCAACTGAGAGTGTTCATGAAACACTCTATGATATGTGAAGTGGGATTTAGTCCTCTCTACCACATATGTAAGTCTATGATTATGAGGCTTACGCTCGTCGTGAAGCGCTCGAAAATCAAGGACTTAGAATAAAGATGTGTTATCTCATTAGAGAACCCATAAAGCATTTTGGATAGTTGTTTAACAAACCTTCTAAGCACAAAGTGGATGTTACTCGAAGGGTAGTCTTCCAAGAGATGAAGCTGATATCCAAAAGGGCTAGCGGGAGCCATATTGATCTTGATAAAATTCAAGAGTCAACCAACAAAGAACCTAAAGTTGGACCTAACATTTAATTCGGGATTGAAAGAGCTATTGAGGAAACTGGCATATTTCCATTATTTCATTAGAGATATGATAGAGGATGCCATTCACCTAGTTATATAAGAGTTTATATTACTGGGGTAAATAAGTCACTGGTATGGGGCAATCAGATTATACCAGCTCTCGGAAGCTATGGTAGGCCCAAAAGGCTACAAAATGAAATGAAGACACGGAAAGCGAGATTCAGTCCATGTATGTTGAAACTTGGTAGATCAAGTACTTGGCTTTAATGATTAGGTGTAAGTAGATCTTCAAGAGGAGACAAGCATGGATAGGAATAAACACATAATCAAGCCAAGATAGATTTCAAAGGATGTGTAAGCTTAATAAGTTCATTTATGGACCGAAATAAGAAACTCGCAAAGTGGGATCATTATTTCAATGAGAAAGTTCAAGGAGTTTGAATTTCGTGAAATAAAATGAGTCATATATATGTCAAAGCTATTGGGAGTAATTGAAATCTTTGTTTCAATGAGAAAGTTCAAGGAGTTTGAATTTCGAGAAACATATATAAACTATATATATGTCACACTACTAGAAAAAAAGCCTTTTACGACGCGCAATGTGTGTCGTAAAACGATCAAACGACGCGCAAAATGCGTGTCAAGGAAGACCCTGTCATAATGAGAGACGACATGCTTTTGCACGTCGTCTATAGACGACACGCATTTAGGACGCGCATTTATGACACGCATTTACAATGCAGTTTTACTACGCGCAATGCGTATCAAGGAAGCCCCTGTCATAAAGGAAGACGACACGTATTTGCGTTTCATAACCTTACGACGCACGTTTATGACACGCAATTTGTATCATTAAAGCCCCTGTCATAAATGAAGATGACACGCATTTGTATGTCATAAATGAAGATGACACGCATTTGTATGTCATAAACTTCAACAGCCATTTACGATATGCATTTACGACGTGCCTTTACGATATTCATTTACGCATAATACAAAAATATGGAAACAAATATATACCAAAATAATCAATTTGATCCAATAACGTCATGTCAAACAAGTTATCAAAAATTGAAATACATTGATATTAATCTGATAGTACATTGTTATTAAGGGGTTTTCCCTAACTATATAACCTGATACTACATTCCTAACTATATAACCTGATCCTTCATGTCATTGGTTTACCACCTGGTGTACCACGTAAAAATGTTGAACTTGGTGTCATGGGCGGCTGACCACCGGGCGTTGCTGGAAAGTAATTACTTGCCGATAAGATAACAATGCTTTAATCCAAGACGAGTCAAGAATGCCTAAGAAAAAGAATCAACTAAACAAGCAAAATCTTGATTGGATTTTTGTTAGAAGTTGAAGGTACAACCCTTTAGAAGGTAGCTGGTTTCCCAAGTGTGAGGTGTGGAGGCATGTGATCCATTGTCACCTAAAACAAAAAAATCTTGAGTTAGAAACAAACATCAGCTTTATTTATTAGTTTTCCCTCCACCACTGTAGGCATGCTTCAAATTTGTTAGATCAATGTTGTCGAAACTGTTAGACGACAATGAGTTTCCAAGTAATCCTAAAAATCAAAGTAATGCTTCAAACTCTTTTCAGTTTTGTTAGAAACAAACTTTCTGTGGAAGATCTTTATGCCAAATACATTGAATTCGTGGGGAGGGAAATATTCAAGACCAAGTGTTAGAAGGAAAAAAATGACACCTTGTCAAAAAGAAAGAAAATATGTATAAGTTGATTTCAATCTATCCAAATTTTCATTGATCAAACATTCAACTTTTATAGATTCAATTCAAATCAGAAACACACCTCAGCAGCCAGATAACAAATAGATCCACCAGTGAAATTCTACCCAAAAATATCCCTCACTGTAACAAACAAACTCTTTTAATTGTGTTTTGATTGAGAATAAATAAAATACCCTCTTTTATATGTTCATCAAAAAATTGGATCATTTCTGCCTTGCTCAACTGCTTCAATGCAGCCACCTGTCTCATTACATTACCAACAATTAACTTCTGTCTCTGGATAAATAATATTTTAAATAAAAGTATCAATAAAATGACACAATGGGAAAATTTTTAAAAAGCTCCATACCTCGTGATCTTTCCTATCAAATTTGAGGGTACCATCTTGGATTTCTCGCCAAAAGTATACAGATTCTTCTCTTAAGTTCTTGTGCTTCTCAAGCTTCATCTCAATCAGTGCATTAACATTGCTCTGCACCCTTATAGTATTACATATTCAGATCAATAAACAATATTCATATTTTCATACGCAAAGTCCAAATTGATACAAGAAAAAACAAGTCTTGTGACCTTGAATTCATCATCTGGCATCTCATAGAGGTATATGAAACACTTGCACTAGTTCTATATATATATATATATATATATATATATATATATATATATATATATATAGAACAAGTGCAAGTGTTTCATATACCTCTGCATAAGCATAGTGATGAAGTTTAATATTATGTCTTAATATACTTGAAAAAAATATGCTTACCTGAATGTAGTGAAGAAGAGCTGAATTTTCATCACTTGGATTCAGACCCTCTTTAGTCAATGAAAAATAAGGCCATCCATCACTTTAGGCAATGAAAAATAAGGCCGAAGTTCTTCCTGCAGTGTCAATATATATAAATACAAATGTGTATTTTTTGTGAATGAAAAAGGGGTATTATTTATAAATGACACTAGTTTCAGAATTTGTAATAAAAGCATGATTCAAGAAAGAGAATCCCATTTATATAATATTTTGATTCACGTAGCCTCTCACTCCAAAAGGCAATATCCCAGTGGTTCAAGTCATCAGCCTCAGGGGCGCCTTTACTTTTGGCAAACTGCTTCAGATCTTCCATATCTACAAGATACACAGGAATAGGTATCATGAACCATTTTCAATAGAATTTTAGTGAAAAGAACATCAACAATATACACATGGACTCAGATATAAAAATGAATGATAACGAAAACCTTCATTAAAAGTGACAAGAAACTACAATCGATAAGATATATGTAGGTATATTACCCTGAACTACAGCATTCCAGGAAGCACTCTTGAGCTTTTCAAGAAGCTCTTCTGCTTTACTAACAGTAGCCATCTTGGTTGCCATACTTACCCGATAATAAAATTCCCAATAACCCAATCATATAAAGTAACTAAGAAGCAATAAGCTAGATGGCAAGTAATAAGTATAAGCAATGAATAGAAATTCAAACCTCTGCATAGTTATTGTAGCCAAGAAGTTTACCCTTTTCCAATCTAAGTTTCAAAATTTGTTCAATAACTGGAGTATTATCTAGTCTTCCAACAGATGAACGGGTTATATAAACATCATAAACTTCCCTCCATAAAGCTCGGTTCTTGGCATGTTGCATGACAGACATGAAACTTGGAGCATCCAATGTAAACACCCATGGCCCATTTTCAGCAGTGGCATTTTCATGACCCTGTTTTCAAATATGCACAATGAAATAAGGACAATTGGGACACTGGTGTTGCATAATAGAAGCACCCAATAACATTAAGCTCACAAGAACATTAGATATGGCTGTTTGTGCAGCCAAGCCAAGAGTTGTAGCTGGCAATCCTTCGATTTCCTTTTTGTCAGTTACTAGTCTTGAATATATCTTAGTGGCATCCAAAACATTCTCATCAAATTTTCGAGAAAGCTTTGTCAGTTCCTGAAGATCAATTCACAGAGAATGATAAAATAGTTAGGGAAACTTAATAGTAGGAAACATCATTTGATTTAAACTTGAACAAGCAACAACAAAACAATTCTAAGTTCCTGAATAATAACGGATCAAACCTGTTGAATTTTGTTAAATTCTTCTCTCTTAGAATCTTCAAGGGAGACACCACTAAGAACAGCTCCTTTAGTGATGCTGCATGTGTACATAAATTGAGATGTCAGACCAAATCCACAGATTCTTGATATTGCATGATATGGCATACACCAAGACTTACTAGCAGTAACAAAAACTTTGGGCCATAATAAAAGTTTTTAAAAGGTGTGAATGATTATTAAAGGTCTGCTTATGGTGCAAAACCAAGTAAAAGCTATAGGGATAATTGCAAAGAATATTGGTTCTTGGACACTAAAGAAGTTATGCAGTTTCTATGTGGTTGATGTAAAAGATTGCTAGCACCATGCTTCAGTTGATATCAACACGATTGAACAGACAACTTGGAGATAGTTAGTTTACATCATAATCATACAAACAGTTATCAGTTGGACACAATAAACTTGAAGTGATAACTGATAAGCACAATAAAATAACCACTATTCTCTGAAAATCGGAAGAACTTTGAGATACTTACATTTAACAATTCGCTTCTGAGCATCACTTAGTCCTGCCCAGTCCGGTGATTCCCTTATAGCCTTAAAAGCGTTGTATATAGGTTTACTTTGACCCAATTTCAAGTCAAATTCGAATTTCTCAGATTGCAACAAGAATTTAAGCAAAGTCAGAGGATTGAAAAGGTAAATCATATCAGCGAAAAGTAATAGAAATAAACCTGGATTTCTTCAATAGCATAACGTACTTCAGGAGTATCTTTAACAGACTTAAGATGATTAACAGCTCCCCAAACAACACTCAACCGATCCAACATCTTCTCTAACGGTTCCACCAGCTTCGGCCACGACGGCTCCAAAGTTTTCTCCAATTCAACCAAATCGCTGTCCTGCGATGTTTTTTCCCCAAATCAACAATCGAATAAACACAAATCTATAATCAATCACACAGACTTACAAGATTCTTCAACAAGGCACGCATCCCAGGGCGCACATGACAGGCATCGATTGCATCAAACGGAGGGAATACGAAGTCCTTCAATAGAGTATTATCATCAGAAACCGTCGACATTGAGGATGGTAGTGTGGCGGAGCAGAATGAACCATGGCGATGAGCGGCGGCGGGGGAAAGCGAAGGTGAGTAGGAGTGGCGGAGGATAGTACTGCGATGAGGAGGAGGTAGGTAGAATAAGAAGGAAGGAGACCAGAAGGGGCAGATGCGAGATTTAAGAAGATATTTAGGTGTGGAAGATGAAGAAGAGCATAGGGGACGATGGAAAGAGCGGACAAGGGAAATGACGATAACCATCGCAACTACCACACCTTCAGTAGAGATATCATCGACAGCTTCCGGAGAGATTCTCGGTGTACATCTCCTGGCTTTGGAATTTGAACTTGACGTCGTCATCGACAAGCACAACTTTAGTAGAGATATCAACGGTACCGTTCTCTTAAGCGGCGGCCATGAAGACGAAGACCTAGGGCTTTTTCTTGCTGATTGGAAGGGGGGGGGTTTAATTTTTGGGATTCAATAGGCGGGTGAAATCCCGCCTTAAAAATGCGTGTTTCATTAAAATGTTATAAAGCGACACATTTAGACGACGCACATTTTATGAAAAGGCGCCCTCCGCATTTCCTTTTTTTAACTTTTCAAACACTAATTTTAGGATACGCACAAATGCATGTCTTCTATCTTTCAAATTTTGCAAAACTGACATTATTTTTTAAGACACGCACAAATGCGCATCCTCTATCAGCGAGTGTCATTGTTTGCTCGTCATTAAAGGGCTGGTTTCTAGTAGTGTCAATGCTAGTGGGAGCATTGTAGTCACCCTTTTATTGTACATAGATAATGTACGATTCATAGGAAACTATATTCTAACTTAGCAAGTGTAAAAAAATTAGTTTGGTATGAGAATCGTTTCGCTATGATATACATGGGAGATATAGAACACGTACATAATAAGGATCTATGGAGATAGATCAAAGTGATTCGTTGGATTAAGCCAAAGTACATGGAATGTTGAGGAAAGCTGACTTGCAGAACTTGAAAAGGTTTGTGATTAATATGGCATGAATTTGAGCGATGCTAATGTCCTAGTTCTACTATTGATCTAGAAGTTATGAGTCGTGTCCCATATTCTTCTGTTGTGGGATCGATCATATATGCCATGACATGTACCAGATCTAATGACTCGTATGCCTTGATCATGATAAGTTGGATTAGATCAATTTGGAAAGAATCAACGAATCAAGATCAAGAACATTCTTTAGTGTCCTAAGAGGACAAAGGAAATGATCTTGATAGTATGGAAGAGATCATTGTATGAGTTACATTGATGCTAAGTTCCACATTAATAAAAATGATTTCGTTTGCAATAGGAATTCGTTCTTTTACTGAATGGTGATGTATTAGCTTGAAGGAGTACCAAGTAATAAACCATAGTGGATTTAACAAAATTAGAGTATATCGCAGTTGGTTAAATTGCAAAGGAAAACAATGTGACCAAAAGAGATTCATTAGTGACATCGTTGTTGAAATTCAATCATTGATGGTCCTTTCGAAGTTTCTTATGACTATAAGGGTGAACTTACCTCGAGTATGGATCCCAAGTCATAGTAGCGCACAAGACACATACTCAGTAAGTACCAACACATTTGATAGTGAGTCAAATGTAAATACATCATAGTCAATAAGTCATATCGAAAGATAATCTGGTTGATCCATTCCATAAGCCAATGTCACTGACAAGTCTGATAGTAAAAAAAAGTCGAGAGGCATTAGATTTGCAAATGAATTGGCTTAAGCACTCTTAGTTTGGTTTGTTTTAAACCTGAGAACTTAAATTAGTATAATTGTTAATTTGATTTGGCGATGATTAAGTGGAGATATTAATATATGATGAAGTTCGGTCATTTCAATTAGCTTATTACTGCGTTCTCCTTTTGCATGTTTGGTACCCACTTCCCGAGTATTAATTTACTCAAACGTCCATAGTCAATCATACTCTTGGAAGTAAGTAGTGATTCAAAACTATGATGAGCATTAGTGGATTTTCCATAGTGATTGGACATAGCATCGAGATTGCAATAACACTCATGAGTACTTAATAGAGATATATGTATTGGACCAACCTGCGCTTAGAGATTACTTCATGGATCCAGTCATGAGTGATTGTAAGACGATAATATCTTCTATTCTTCAAACCTATATACATATGGGGTTTTACTCTATGATTCTATTATGCATTGGTCTACTCAAACGTTATCCGTAGCTGATATTTATAAAGGGTATGTCCATGTGTGAGATGATGAAGTAGACAAAAACTATGTAGTCGAAGTTCATTTTTTCCTTCTGCCTTAAGAAGAGAAGAGATATATATAGGCCCTTTGATGATTTGGTGCTGACATCTAAAGTGCTTGGTCGAGCCCTAACAAAAATTGATGTGTTCAATTTAGTAGTCAGATGCAGTAATCACAAATCTGTATCGAGAAACATAATCTTGAATTCTGAGATTGACCATTATCCATGTCTCGAATTCATACATATATCATATAACGAAGGAATAGTTGATCACTTATCTAAGGGTTGGATTTTGATTAGATCAAGAGGTCGGTAGTTGGATTGGATGGCTAACTCTCTGTTAAATATTGGAGAAGTATCGGACCATGTATAGTTGATGACTTCTCCAAGTGGGAGACTGTTGGAAGAGTGTTCAATGTCATTAATTATTGGTAATATTTATAATAATAACAAGGTCCTTTTGGGTTGCCCTCAAGATCCAACTTGAGTAGAATAAATAAAGGAGAAATTGGTTTATTAATTATTATGGTTAATAATTAATTAGAAACTAATTGGAAACATATTTTGGGAATTATTTAACAGTTTAATAAATTAAAGGGTTGAATATTCATTAATCGATAGTTGGTTAATTAGGAAAGTTCCAGAACCCTTATGGAATTAGGGTTGGATGAAAATCACTCCATCCCACATGGTAAAAGGAATGAAATTTTTTCTAGGTATTCCATCCCACATGGGAAGGAGTACAAAACCTAGGAAGGGACCCAAGGCTATAAATAGGGCCTTAGGGATTTCATTCTTCCTTGCACCTTGGCTTGATGTTTCCCCAACCATTCTTCCTCCTTCCATATGGACGATTTCTAACCCTCTTAGGGTTTGTGAAACTCACCTTCACCTAGTTATTTTATTCCATTCTTTGGTGTCATTAGGTGTGATACCATTAGAGGGATTTTGGTTTGGGTCCTCTCATCCAAGCAACTTCATGGAAGATCAAGATCTCAGGCATGGAGATCAAGGGCTACATAAGAGGTATGTTTTTCTTTGTTGTTTTTATGTTTTCTATGGTTGGTGTAATTAGAATGAAACCATACACTTAGGTATATCGTAGATTCGATTTTTCCGCTACCTAGTTTAGAGTGTATTTGATGCGTAGAAAACCTAACCGTTGGAGTTGTCATGGTACCTATTGCATTTCATAGGGGGCTAATATATAAGGAGATTTTGCTATTGGAGCTGCCCATGGGATCAGATCAATTTGGAATTCAACATCTCGAACTGGTGGTTATCCCAATAATCCTTTGGAAATACGTCAGGGAAATCGCATACATGGGGTATGTCCTTGATTTCTTTCATCTCACTCTTTTTTTCTACGACGTGGGCTAGAAAGCACAATACTTTTTGTGAAGGTACTTCTGCGCTTTCATACAGGAGATGATTTGAAGGTTTTTCTAGGTTTATCCCCATATATAATCAGTGATTCTCCATTGGGTAGGAAAATTCGTACGACTTTTTTGTGGCACGGTATCTCCGATCAATGAAGGGATAACCAATCCATGCCAATTATAACATCGAAGCTTCCGATTGTCATGGTCATGAGATTGACGTGAAAGGTGTGATTACTTAATGTTAGCAGGCAGTTTTCTAAGATCTCTTGGGTACTATCGTATTCACTGTTAGCAATTTATACTAAGTAAGTTTGATCTACTTTTTTGGACTTATTGCTTAACAGTTCTCTAAACTTAGGGGTAATAAAACTTTTCTTAGTACCCGAATCAAAAGGTATAATTGCATATATGTCGTTAACAAGAAACGTACCAATTACCACAGATGGGTCCTAGATAGCATCTCTTGCACCAATAACGAATGCCCTAGCTCTGGAATTCCGCCCTAGATTTGTCAAGCTCAGACAATCCCTCTTAAAGTACCCGACTCCCCACACTTGTAGCATGTTCGGCTTCCAGCAGTAGCCAATCCCGGTTTTTTCATGGTTCACTACTAGAAAACTGTTGGGTATTGAGCACTATAACACTCCTATGGTGCACATGTAACCCTAAATGCTTTGGAAATATGTTTTCTCTAATTATACATGCATTTTCAATTTTTCCAAAGCATTCTCCAAACTAGCATACAAATTGTCAAATGAACAATATCACTAGTTAGATTACTTACCTCTTAGAAGGACTTGTAGTTCTTGACCTTTGAAAGCTTGAGCACCCCAAGTGTGATGCCTCTAATGGTTCACAAACACCAATATGCAAGAGGAGGCTTGAGAAAATAATTTACTTGTACAAAATCAATATCACTCTCCAAGAATGTTGTAGCTCAATGTTGTAACCGATTTTGGCAATGAGGGGTTTCTTTTATAGTGTGGAAAATGCTAGGGTTACACTTTGTAAACCCTAATGACCTTTCATATTACTTAGGATCCATGGGTTAACCTTCATGGACTATCCATGGATTATCTCATTGGTGTAGCCCATCCTAAATAACCATGGACCATTAGCCCATACTATTAGAATCATTGATTTACATAATCAATCCCTACATATTTAATTAGTCTCTTTTGATCAAAAAATTAATAAATTAATTCTTGATCAATACTAATTAAATAATATGATTTCTCAATTAATATATTATACTTATAATATATTAATAAATCATAAATAACCTTATTGTCAAAAGTTCATCCTATCAAATTGCATTGGTGAAGGCAACCAAAAATGACCATGCTACAATCGGGTCAAGTACATACGAGTTATAGTTATGGGCTTAGACACCAAATCCACAAGTCTCGCACTTGGATAAGTCTAATAACTATAGCTGGCAATGCGACTTCAGGATCCTACTTAGCAATCTTAAGCTTTCAAAATCCGCTGTCGAACTCTGACCTAGTCAGTGACGCGTCCTTCAGATAAGGGATTGTATACTCCTTTGTTCTCAAGATATCTATATACAGACAAATACATGGAACATAGTCATACTTATTGTGCTGCAATTTGTTTCCCGATTTCCGATTCGTCTGACATAGAACATAACTGAACACATCAATTTAGTTCTGACCGGGCCCGACACATATTCAAAACAGAATCATCGAGGGGCCCAAGATA